TTGTTGAACTTTTATTCCTGTGTCCGTCTAGTGGTGTTCTGCATAATTGGGTCACTCTTAGAGTACCCATCATGACAATATTATTGGTTGAAAATAATCCCAATTTAGATTGATGGTTTTTACCAAGATGTCTCCTATCCCTAAACTCTGGACTATGTGTACTTTAAGTTACACAGTGCATACAAATGGCAAATCACCTGTACTTTCGTACATACAGCTTTTTCAAGACTTGACCAAAATATTTTACACTACTTTTAGTCATTCACCCATTCACGCTCACAGCTATCCTCTAACTAACTGACAGAAGAGAGGCTGCCGTAAACAGCCGCCACTAGTCCCTCTGACCAACATCAGCAGGAACTGATGACCCTTCGGTTTCAGGGCCAAAACCTGCATCTGACATCACTGTCGCCCCAGACCTCTTCCTTAACCCCATCTAGCCATTTTCAACCACGTCCATCCTGCTGGTCCCAGTATACCAAACATTGATCAGAGGGATTAGGCCAACTAAGAAAACAGCCACTGTGTGACCCAGGAATGTAGAAGATGTGCTACAGGACCGTTTTCAGCACACAAATTGGTAGGTCTTCAGAAAGACGGCTACATATGAGGCATAGGTGGAAGTGGAGGAATACTCCTCCTCAGTTCAGCCCCTGAATTTGGACACACCCACGGTCTACTGTCCTGCTGTTACCAACTAGTGTTTAAGTTTGTGCAATAAATTAGAATAATTAGCCTATAATTCTGAAACTTTTTGATAGGTTTCCTACTGTCCTTTAAGATGCTGCAACTAATCGGAATCAAGCATTCATCCAGACCACGGTATTGGAAGAGACTCTTTATCATTTCTGTCTATCTCATTATATCTTTCTTTTTGTTGAATATTTAGACAGACAAAACTGGCTGTGCTATCGCTGAATTTAAAATGTCAAGTTTTACCAAACTAGATATATTTGAGGTTGAGATAACTGGGAAGGAGGAAGGAACAGGTGAGTCCTGTCCTTAAAGCCAACTTTATTGCAATGTTTTAATCATATGATAGCCAGATTATTATTGTAACGTGGATTTTGTATATATTTAGGTGTTTCACAATCGCAAAAGAAGAGGATAAAGATTAACTACGTTATTGGCAAGCTGGCATTTGTTGACCCGCCTAGGATTTATGAAAAAGGCACAAATCTGGAGGGAAAAGTAAGTAAGAACTCAGTAAAAGAGATACTTTTCCTCCCCATACAGACGTACTTTCTTTCCGTTTCTTTTGGTCTTTATTTTATCATATCATTAAACAAAAGGAAGATACATTGAGTGAATACTGAGTGCAGCTTTCCAAGAAGGTTGTAGTTTTTTTTGGGGTGGGGGTGGGGGTGGGGGGGTGCAATGTTACGTGTTTATAAATTATCTGCAAATGAATAAAGTTTCCAAAAACAGCATTTAATTTTACCAGTCATACCAAGGTAGACTTATTAAATCACATGAAGATCTTAAAATTACTTAAATGGAAGCTATCTGACAACATAAAGAAGAATAAAAGATCTAACCCACGATGTCTCAGTCCATGAGCAGAAGAAAGGCAGTCATTAGCATGTTTCAAAAAGGTTATAAAAGCATTTTTTAGGCTTCAGAACTACCGTGAACCACAAGCCATTTCCCAACAGTTCCGAAAACGCTAAATGACTTTGACCTTCCTACATGTTGTTGGTCATCATGAGCCTATCCTGTAGGTCACAACACCTGAACCACAACAGACGGCAATTTCTTCAGTTTCAAAGGAAGACTGTTTGCTTATTTGTGACTGGGTCCTGAGGAACAGCAGTCCCAGCAAAGTCACTCAGATTTCCCTTTCTCAAGACTCCTCCTCCAGCTCCTCTGAGAGAAGACTGAGGCATTCCAGGGCACACCGGTGTGTCCTGTGACGGGCCGTGGGCGTTGGTTTTTAGGCTAAATCTGGTTGATCCTTCATAGCCTTGATTTAGTGCAGAAATATTTGTTGAAAATGTCAATGATCAGACAAATTGACCTTTTATTCAGGCAGACAGAAGAGGTTCGTTTTATTGAAAGCTTTGGATTATGCAAGGGTTCAGCTGGGACGGGTTTCTGGATTCTCTGTAGACACTTAGGTTAGTGATCACTAGGCTCAAACGGGGAATGAGCATGTGAATCACTAACCTGGTTATAAGTTCAGTCCGTATCCAAAGGAAGGAGTGGGAACCAGTCAGATGACTTCTCCTCAACATGCCCATAGAGTTCCAAGAGCAGAATAGTGGAGTCTTGTAGAGTGAAAGCCAGCAGATGCTGAGAGCAGCAACACTACAGGCTGTGCTAGATACTTCTCACACTAGGCTCAGATAATCTGGCCCTGATGGCTGGAAACAGACAGCATAAATAGGAGCTGGTGGTTCAGATGAGCTGTAATGAGCAACCAGGAAGAGTAGACCTGTGAATGAATGAGCAATTAAGCCAGCCACCAGCACCAAGATCATGACAGAAAATTGGGCAGTGGTTGGTCATTCTGATTTTGTCCCACTTTAGTCCAATAATAGACAATTTTCAGACTGTTAAAAAGATGTTGAAAAAGCAGTTTATAAAGTCTTTTCAACAGTCTGAAAATTACAGCTTTTCACCTTTCAACCAAATTTAGGCTAGTCGACGTTTGGGCGTAAATTATTACATAATGTCAATGTCTTTTCAGTGGGAGGGAGAAACATTGATACAAGGAAACTATACACAAAGTAAGCCAAGAGTGACATGAAAGGAACCAAGGGTTGCACAGTTATAAGGTTTATGGGACAAATACCTTTCACACAGAGCCACGTTTATTTTGATAGCTTTTTCCCTGAGTAAAAGAAATGATCATTTGCATTTTTTATTCACTCAGGTTATGTTACTTTCCATTTATTTTTCCAAAACATTGAAATTAATGCTGCATAACTTTAGACTCAAGTATTAGCATAATTCTAGATATATAACATAATTTACAGGTCAATATGAAACATTTGGGGCTTATTATTGCTCTGTACAGGCTGCCCTTCTCAAAGATTCTCCAATCTAACTTGGAAGGGTCAAATCTGCCACTAAATGAGTCATGTGACCCAGAGCGTCACTTACAATTTGTTATGAGTCCAGTGCTGCCACTGGTCTTCAGGGTAGCTTAACCTAGATGTTATAAGTCCCCCCCCCCCCAGTGGCTAAAAGTTACACAACAGTTTGCTTTAAATGTATTAGGGTAGGTTATTTTTCCAAAATAACTATTAAGAATCCTTGAATAGTTAGTTGTTTATATCTTGTGAGTCAATGCACTATTTTATTCCAGAATTGTATATCTTACAGGTCAAGGCTGTTCACTACAACAATACGCCCATTTCTCACATGCCGCTATATTTGCTAGAGGGTCGTGTATGGTCTCCCAAATTACTCCAGAAACTCATGACTGACAGCAACGGTTTGGCCACATTCTCTGTCAGCACAAACACATTTTTTGGAGACACTCGCCTGATTGTAAGCTAATTACATCTGTAACAATCCTATTTTAATTGTCAAAAACCGTGAATAAAATAATATTTGTTTGCCTTTCAAGCACCATTATCTCTTTTTATAAATAGATAAGTAGCACACCAAAAATGCAGGACCCACAGCATAGAACAGCTCACATTGCCTGGCAACACCACACCGTTCGTCAGTCCCTACCTCCTTCTGTTGACATTAAAACAAGCAGCGTCTTGAAGATAAAGAAGATTGACTCAACTCTTCCATGTGATAAAGAAGTGGACATCTCCATTGATTACACCGTTGTGCATGAACCACAGGGATCTATAGATATCGTTCATCTGGTGAGTCATTCAGCCGGTTACCAACATTATTTTACAGTTTTAAAATGTACTCCAGTGGACAGCTGTACATTAAAACTTGACAACATTCAGCAGAAGACAGTCTGTTTTAGCTCTGTATTTGGACTTTAGCAGAGTAAAACAAAAGTACATAATTATTAGCATTAAACCGTAACAGCTTAAGTGTTATTCAGTACAAGAATGTGTTAGATTTCCAAACACTTGGTGAGCATGAAGGGGATGGTAAAGACTAACAAGATAGATAATTACATTTAAAAATGTGCTGGACGGTTTGCCAGAATTGCTTGGAGTCCAGCCAATAGTTTTCCCCAAAAGGCTTTCTCCATGGCCACTCCAAACTCCTCCCAGGCCCCAGTTTTTGGCTTTGCATCCACCAGGGCAGCGGCATGCTTGGCCTCACAATACCTGATTTCTGCCTAAGGAGTCCCACAAGCCAGCCAGGCTCTATGGGACTCCTTCAGCATGACAGCATTCCTTACTCCTGGTGTCCAACACCGGGTTCGAGGACTGCCTCCATGACAGGCACCACAGACCATTTGGCCACAGCTGCGTCGACATTGGAGGCAAAGAACCTGGCTCACTCAGACTCAATTTCTCCAGCCTTCCAAAGAGCAAGAGAGCTTCTCCCAGAGATGGGAGGTCAACACGTCCCTAACAAAGGGCTCCACCAAATATTCTCAGGAGACCCTCACTAGTCTTTGGGCTTGCTGAGTCTGTCTGGCTTCCTCCTCTTTCGGGGTATCCAACTCACTGCCTGGCGATGATAGCTCTGCCCCTCTCTTCAGCTAAGTGCCCAAGACATACGGACAAAGGTCAGAAGATAAGACAACAAAGCAAATCATCAACCTCCAGGTGTCTTGCTGCACTGATGGACATCCTAATACTCAAACATTGTCTTCATTTTGGATGATCCATGACTTGCAAAGAAATCAAATGAAGAATTACAACTCGGATTCGGAGCCGGGGGTGTGTTCAGGTGTTATTGTTATTTCCCATGAGGGTGCTGAAGCCCCACAGCAGAATGATGGAATCCCTGGGAGTTGAACCGACCCCCCAGACGGCAATCCAGCTTCATTAATTTGCAAACAACCACAGCAAAGAAATGAACTGCTTTATTTTTTTCCATAAATTCACAGGTCTTATACAGAGGAACTATTGGCAGTGGAGGACAAAAACAAGTTCAAATTGAAGATAAACCAGGTATATAAAAACCAAAGTGACACATTTATTAAAGTTTCTTTCCGTATTTTTCTGATTCTTTTTCAATTCACTGAATTAATGGATCAGTATAAGAATTTTAAGGTCTTTGCTTTCCTTGATATTGCATGTCTAACAGTGTGATGGATTTTTCAGTGAATGAGGGTCAGGTGTCCTTCAGCCTGAACATTTCTCCAGACATGGCTCCACTGATCCAGGTTGTGGCTTACGCTGTCCTCCCCAGTGAGAATGTGATTGCTGCCAGTGCTGAGTTCTCCACAGAAAAATGCTTTAGTAATAAGGTCAGCAGACATGAAAGGACACACAGATGAAGACGCTGTTATAATCCTGGCACAGTCCTAATAATATCTAGTTAAGGAACATATTAAAGGAAAAGTCTGGTCAGCGAGGAATAATCAATGGATCATTATTTATACCTAAAACTAATACGTTTGAGGTGCTTTAATTAATTTAGCGTTCATCAGTAAAAAATAAAAGCAGTTATTTTCACCATGATCATTGAGTCTGGGAGCGGCCATTTTAGCCCAAATATAGTAGCCCCTCCCTCCTGCCATCTTCCAGCAGTGACATCACGGTGCGGTTAGCCTAGCGCCATTCTCCCCGCTTTACAAGCTAAATCAATGGGAACTACTAGACACATCTGCAATCAACAACAATTATTGAAGATTTCCAGAGGACTTCACCATTGAAATTCACCAGAGCTGATAAGATAAGATAAG